AGAAAGAAATATCACAATTTTACTAAAAGCAGAAATATCACATTTATTTCTAACAATAGACAATAAAAATAAATAAATTTATTTTTCTAATTTACAGCATTCAAAATTTCTAACATAGATAAAATATCACAATTTTTATTAAAAAGATTATTTTTCAAGATAATGAGGTCACGTGCGCATAAAATTTATCGCACCTAAAATTCATGATAATAAGCAAAAATAATTATTTCATTTTATTTTTAAAAAGAATAGATTATTTTTCGAGACAATGAGGTCACTTACACATAAAACTGATAAAATAAAGATCCTAGACGGAAATATCACTATTTATTAAAAATAGACTATTTTTCAGAAAGACGATGTCACTTACCCATAATTATTTGAGAGGGAGCTTCCGATAAAAAATTCGGTTCGAGAGAGAAGTTCACTGTGTTTCGACCAGAGAGAGAGATCTCAAAATTTTGTTTTAGGGTGGGAGTGCTCACATCCCCTATTTAAATTCTTATAACGTATTATTATGTTGTTTTATTACGCTCTACCTCATACCTGAGGTGTCGCGTTAAAAGCAGACTTTTATCGTACGAAAACCACGTCCGCTAAAGGACGCTGCCAGCTGCAAGCAGCAGGAGGCAAAAGCAGGCAAAGGAAAAAAGTAAAGGCAAAGCAAAAATTAATCCAAAGCAAAAGTTTTGAAAATAGTGATGGTCCCCAAGGACCATCATACTCAATCAGACCATCACCTATTAAAAGCATCATTTTCCCCCCACTTTTTTCCTTTTTTTTTTTTTTTTTTTTTTTTTTTGAAATTTTAGGATTGTTACACTAAGCCAATCCTACAACTTGAAACTTGTACCCTCATTCGAGAGGGAGGACAATGGCAAATGGATGTCCCATTTCGTAGTGCCCTCACTCACACATACCTGATCCCCAGCGCGCTTTGGAGTTTTGATAGGATGAAGCCTTGCAAGACACGGCCCTCTCCTTGCGCCTTCAAGCGAGAGGGCGTTACACTACCATTGGAGAACCCAATGCGTAGTGCTCATAACAATTTGAAGGGCGCGACTCACCCTGTTATTTATAGTTATCTCCCGATTCCACTCCTATCATTAGAGTTGGGGCAGAATCAGAACTTGCCGGTAAAACAGAATATCCACTACCAATGGAGGACCCATTGTGTAGTGGCCAGAAGTCACATATAGCAAAATTCATATAACTAAAACAGAATATCTACTACCAATGGAGGACGAACTGCATCTTGGCCAGAAGTTACATATAACATAGTTCAGATAACTGAAACAGAATATCCACTACCAATGGATGACCCATTACGTAGTGGCCATAAGTCATTTATAACAGAGTTCCATGTATATGCATGCATAGCATTCATTCATTCAACATTTGTAGGATCATTAAACATGCTATTTAAATCACCTTGCAAAAGGGATTAAGTTGTGTTCAGAAAGAGGCATCGATGCATGACATTTGCATAATTCATATGCAACTTAAAATTTATTGTTGTCCTTATCAGTCATGGGCATATACAAAATGAGGCATGGCACCCAAAATATGAAGGGAAATTCAACTAAATTCTTAATCCAATTTGTTAACTGAACAATACTTGATCAATTGAGGGTTCAGTTTATCGTTTTGAACCTAGCTGAATTCAGCCACCAGTAGATATTTGAAAATTAACTTGCAATCTAGTCGGAATTTCAAAATAAATTAGATATGCAACTTTTAGTTGGCATTTGGAGCTTTCAAATGGCTATAGTTTCGTAGCATATGGACCCCGTTTGTTCAGCCAAAATTCATGGCCACAGAGACCAAAATTATGATTTTTTATAATGTTTGTCAACAGTGACATATTGGAGCATTCTCGAGTATAACTCCTCATCTACACAGAATTTGGGCAATGTTAAAACATGAAAATCATAGAAGACTCATGCATCTATCAAATGGTTGTGTTTTTGTGTCATTTGGACTTCAATAAATCAGGCAAGTCTTAGTATAACAGAAGCAATATTTCTGGAATTTTATCACAGTCTGCTAATAATGACATACATGTATAAAATAGAACATATCTTCCAAACTAGCAAGAATCTCAATTGGACATAAATAGCAAACTCAAAGTAGCCTCAGAGATATTTCAAATGGTGTGATTTGAGGCCAAATAGATATCATTTACTTAGTCAAAATATCATTATAAAAAAATGTAAAATCCCTAGAAAATCACAATCTAGCCATGACATCCCTTCCAAAATCATCTCCTAACTCTTAATCTATGCAAGGTAACAATATGAAACCAATTCTAGCTTGAACTAGACCCACAAGAGTATCATCCCATAGAATTTTAGGGCCATCTAAAGGAATTTCAGTTTTCATTTTTATCATGCAAAGGAAGGTAAGCTTTCTGGAAAATGCAGTCACCATTTTTGCACATGCTTATACTCAACTAGGCTCAAACCATACTTTATTCATGTTCCATGCTTATGGGTCTGCAAGGTAGTGATCTACTTACCTTTTGTGTCCCCAAAGGTGATCCCAATCTTCTTCCACAGTCCCTTCCACCAAGCTTTCTCAAACTCTCCAACAATTGCACAAAGGGCTGAGCTTGAGCTTCAAAACGTGAGGTGTAGAGAGATAAAGAGTGGTTTTGTACTCCAAAGGTGGGGAGGTGACTTTCTATGTTCACCAAGTGGCCCCTGCATGGAATGAAGGTTGACAATTGGCGCACAAGGCAGCATGTAGCCAGCATGTGGCCGACTTGCTTCACGCACGGCCTTCTCTTCTTCTCCCTTTGCGCGAGCGCACTTTCCCTTTTCTCTTCCTCTTTCCTCTTATCACCGCAGGCGCTCGTCGCGCGGCACTCCTCTCTTCTTCCTCTCCGCACCTATCGCCGCGCGCACTCCTTGCTTCTCGCCGCGCGCCTTCTTCCTCTATCGCCAAGTGCCTTCTTCCCCTATTGCCGGGTGCCTTCTTCCCTATCGTCGCGTGCCTTCTCCCTCTATCGTTGCACGCCTTCTTCCTCTATCGCTGCGCGCCTTCTTCCCCTATCACCTCAGGCCTTCTTCCCCTATCGCGGTGCGCCTTCTTCCCCTATCGCGGCGCGCCTTCTTCCTCTATCACCACACGCCTTCTTCCTCCATTGCCATGTGCCTTCTTCTTCTATCGCTACGCACCTTCTTCTCCTATCTCCGCGTGCCTTATTCCTCTTTCGCCAGGCGACAGCGACTTCATCATGCTCAAGAAATTCGGGTCATTACAGTCATTGACTAAACTCAAAGTTCAATTTTTTTTTTAATAGAATTTCGTGACATACCACATGCCATCGCATTTGACATATAACAACTAGGAGTGATTGCGACGTCCTTATAATAATGGCCTTAGTATACAAAAACAATGTATCTTATAACGCATTATTTAGACCTTTAATTTTTTTTAAGTTTTAGTAGTTTATAGATATGCTCAGTCTACACCAATTTTTGAGCTTTATTTTTCATAATTAGGATTGATAATATATTTTTATGTCATCACAAGGCTTTACGATGTCAGAACTATATCTTTTTTGACATAGATTTGAGGTGTGCTTTACTTTGATTGTTTAAAGTCGATGCCTCATACAAATCTCATCCCTTTTTTTGAAGGGTGATATTCGTATAAGGTGCTCACCTTATGCCATACGAGTAACGTACACCTCTAAATTTTATTGGAAGATGTAATTCTATATGCCTGAAATCTTTTGATGGTTTATAAAATTCAGGTTTAACTTAAATTATTTTAAATTTTAAATTTAAAAAATAGTGCAAACCCTATAAATCTATAAACACATAAAAAGATTAAAAATAGACGGTCTAGATAATTTGTTACAAATGTTTTTAGGACTTGAAATTCTTTTATCTTTTATTTCATATATCTCAAAGTCAACATGATTAATTAGAAGATTATCCAACTTCGAAACACTCTTTCTACTATATTTTTTAGGTGTACCGTACTTCTATAGTACAAAGTTACAACTTTATATACACTTTTTCTTTCTTTAAAACTTTTTTTTTTATTAAAAGTTTTCTATGAGTCAACAAGTACAAGAGCCTACTGCCGGTTCACCGTCCATCTTTAAGATGTACATTGTGTAAAGCGCATGGGGTCAAATCAAATGTGGACAATGCCAAAAACATCCTTAAAAGATGTACACTTTAAAATTCAATTTTTTTTTTCTTTTGTTTTTCATATTTATAATAAGCTTGGTTTAGATAATGAATCCTAAAATTTTAGATAAAAAATCCATCTTCAAGGTATAACTGCTTCTGGTCCGCGATGCTTCTTGGGTCTGGCGTGGGATTTGGAATCACAGAGTAGGCTTCGTTCTTCATGCAAATGCGCTTACGAGAAGCTGATCCTTCAAAGGTCGTCATCAGTCCATTTTATCCAACTTCCAGAGGAGTTTTCTCCTTTTTGATTTAGAGCTTCCAATTGGATTTTTTTTTGAAACTGGATCGTCCAAGAATTTACCACAGTCTGCTTTTCCTTATTTTAAAAGGGGGCCGCATGTGTACATATAAGTCGATTGACTCATAGAAACCCCATCCTTTTATTAAGGAGAATTGTTTGGTGAAGCCCACATCTGTTACTCTATGGGCTTGAAGATCTACACCATCCACCAAAGAAAGTGTAGATCTACACCATGAATAATAATCCTTCAAAGAAAAAGTAAAATCAACATTTCAAATATTTTTTCCAAAAAATGTCATTTATAATTTTTAAAATTTATTTATTTTTACATATTAATAATCTACATGTTAAAGATCATATATTCACTAAAAATTAGGATTAAATTCTATTTAAAAAATAAATTATTACGGGGCCCGCATTTGTACATGCGAGTCCGTGGACTCATATAAACCGTGTCCAGACTCGCTCCCCTAGGGACTACCCATCATTGTACACTCGCAATGGTTCATATATTGACGCGCCAAATTTCAATTACGCGCCAAAAGTACAAAGCCGCCCCTTATCCTCTCGTTCTTCTTACACAAATCAGTATTTTTAGGGTTTCGATTCTTCACGCCCTTAAACCTCAGAGCTGGGGCTTACCTCTCAAATTCAACGCTGCCAATTGAAACCCTGGGTTCCTTTGTCTGAAACTTGATTTACAGGGTTTTGGAATCCTACTTTCGTCGAGTTGAGCCCTATCCAATTAATGCAAGGGCCTGAACGCCTGGCCCCATTCTCATAAAGCAAGGTTTTTAACGTTTAGGTACCCTAGCTCACCTTTCATCTGATCTCTGCAATGAACGCCTCTAGGCTTACTCGTTCTCATTCTTGCATTGAGGGTTTCAGATTAAGGAACAAGAAATGGCCGCTGCTCTGGCTTGAAAATCGCCATTTTCTCTCTCTAAATTTAGTTGGAGTCTGGTTCAGGACCCCAATTTCTCAAAATCGAGGTATAAAACACGCCTTTCTCTTTCTCTCACTGTCATAATTCCTGCTTCTTTCTTAGTACGAAGAATGAACACAACCGAGCTTTTTTCTTCTAGTTGTTTATTTCTTGATAATTGTCTATGTTATGATTTTCATTTCGCCCGAGTACTGATATTTAATTGAGAAATTAAAGAAACTCATGGACCAATTTGGGTTGACCATTTTGAATATTTTGTGCCTCACAAATGGAATTAAATTCTGCAAATGGTCAAAATTCAGGAAAATTGTGTGCCTCATTTTATTGAATCCGAGTAAAAAACGAAAAGAATTAGAAATAAATTCCATGCTTCCATTAACTTCCCCTTAAATTTGGGTTATTTCTTCTACAAATTCAATGGGTTTGGGGGTGAACCAATTGGGATTGGGAATATCCTCTGAAATAAGAAGATCGCCATTTGGACTGTTTACAGACCCAATAATGGTTTTAGGCCCTGTTTGGACGTCCCTTTTTTAGCAGTACTGTGTTATACTTGTGCATGAGTGGCCTCATCTTTTAGTACTAACGTGCCAGCTTGATACACCACTATTCACTATGCAAGTTGAGGAATATCCCCATTTTGGCCTTAGGAATAAAAGCAAGGAAAAAAAATTATCATTGGAAGATATTTTTCCGCTTGATTATACCCATAAAGAGTGCCTATTTTCACATTTGGCCCTAAAGGCAACTAAGGGCATGGATATGGCTACATGGACATCCAAATGAGGCACTAGTGTCTATAAGGAGTGTTCATTTTATGACAAAGTTTGGGACCGCATGAGACTCCTTACAAGTATATGGTCTCGAGGTACTCGTACCCAAATGATGGCGGAGGTCATAGATACATTCTTAGGATTATGATATCGGAAGTGAAAGAAGCCTGGAAGAGGAAGAAGATAGGAAGGACTTTAGAATCAGATGGAATCCTGATAGAGGTTTGGAAGTGCACAAGAGAGATTGGCATTGTTTGGCTGACTAAGTTGTTCAACAAGGTATTAAGAACAAAGAAAAAACCAGACAAATGGAGGAAAAGTACTTGGTATCTATTTACAACAACAAAGGAGACAAACAAAATTATGCGAACTATTGAGGGATCAAACTTATGAGACATGCTATAATACTGTGGGAGAGAGTGATTGAGCAACGACTAAGGCATGAAACGAGTGTATTAGAAAATCGATTTAGTTTTATGCCAGGGAGGTAAACAATGAGGCTATTTTCCTATTTAGACAACTGATTGAAAAGTTTAGGGCAAAGGGAAAAAACTCTATGTGGTCGTTATTGATCTATAGAAGCTTATGATAAGAGTACCTCGAGATTTGATTTGGTAGGTGTTGGAAGAGAAAGAGTCTCCAAACACTACATCGACTTGGTGAGGGATATGTACGAGGGAGCGCTAACTAGTGTGCGAACAACTAGTGGAGAGACGATTGAGTTTTCAGTGACAATAGATCTAAATCAGCGGTCAGTATTGAGCCTATATTTCTTTGTCTTAGTTATGGATGACTTAACTGCGCACCTACATGATGAGGTACCGTGGTGTATGTTGTTTGCGGACGACATAGTTTTGATCGATGAGACCCGAAACAACGTCAGCACAAAATTAGAACTTTGGAGGGATGCTCTCAAATCCAAAAGTTTTAAAATTAGTCGAACCTAGACAGAGTATATGAAATTCAAGTTTAGTAATAATAGGAGTAGAGATGAGGGAAGTATTAAGATTGATAGCTAAGATATATCAAAAAAAGTGCACTTTTGATATCTTGGGTTAATAATCCAGGAATTTAGAGAGTTTGAAGAAGATGTTGCACATAGAATCAAAGTTAGGTGGGCAAAGTGGAGATGTGCAACCGGAGTTTTGTGTGATCACCGCATACCAATGAAACTGAAGGGCAAGTTCTAAAGGATAGTTGTGAGACCAGCTTTGCTTTATGGGGTAGAATGTTGGGCGGTCAAGAAACAACATGAAACAACATGCTCATGGAATAAGTGTAATTAAGATGAGGATATTGAGATGGATGAGTGGCAAGACAAAAAGGGATAGAATTCGAATTGGATACATTTGGGAGAATTTAGGTGTTGCACCAACAAGTGATAAAATGAGAGCAAGTAGACTTAGGTGGGTGAGCCATGTACAACGCATGCCTAGTACAATACATGTTAGGAGGTGTGAGTTAGTATAAGTGGAAGGTTAAAAAGGGTAAGGGGTAGGCCCCAAAGGAGTTGGTTGGAAGTAGTGAGAAAAATTATAAGGACTTATGGCCTCACTAATGGTATGTCTTTTATAGAGCAGAATGGCGGATCAGGATTTGTGTAGCAGACCCCAATTAGTTGGGAAAATGCTCTGACGATGATGTTGATACCCGAAATCCATTGTGTTTTTCTATCGGAGGGTGGAGATGAGTACTTTTTCCCATTTGAAACAAGTGTGTTTTTAAAAGTCAAAAGCAACTGATTTTCTATTGTCCAAGGATAAGTATAGATATGGGGATGTGGAATAGCCAAGCTAGCTCGTGAGCCAGCTTAGATTGGCTTATGATGACCAAAGCTTAAACAATATTTTCTGGCTTGACAAGCCAACCCAAGTTGAGTTCTCTAGCTAGTTTGTTAAACAAGCAAAGCTCAAGTTGAGATAAGTTCGAATTGAGCTCGACTCAATATTGTTTAATATTTTTAATCATCTATATATAGTCAAAGAATACAAATATTATTCTATGTTGATCTCACCTTAAATAGGAAACTGAATTTAAAATATTACATTGTATAATAGAGGATATTATATTATATATTGCCTTCTTTATAGACTCTGGTTCATTGTTTATGGCTTGACTTAGCTTGTTTATGGGCTTGCTTAAGTAAACATGCCAACCCAAGCCAATCTCGAGCTTGCCTTCTCTTAATCAAGCCAAGCTCAAGCTGGGTGAGTCAAAATGGACCAAACCTCGATCTTGTCCTCCATAAATGCGAGCCAAGCTTGAACATGCCCAGGCTTGGCACTAGTCGGCTCATTGACACTCCCATGCAGACAATGGATGTTGGGCATGAGTACCTAACACTACACTAAATATTTTCCCATAATGTTTTGGTGGTTTATACAACTTTACTGTAAATTTTTTATAATCTTTCTCGACTTATAGTGGAGTTAAATGTTCCAGTGCCTTTATTAGATTCAGCTATGTATATGTAGAAGTGTGCCTAATTCACTCATGGCTTAATGCTTGATGCTTGAATAAGGCATAAAAGGGTATAAAAAGTGGATGAGCACTAAAATTTATCTATGCCATTTTCAATTGGAATACCGTAACATCTTTTGTGCTAGAGTCCCCCTCCCCCTCTCTCTTCTTCCTTGTCAGCTTCTTCCAATGTAACATTGTGGATGTTGCTTAGAAGTGAAAAATAAATTTACTTGGAATTGACCGTCTATTAACAAGGCATGAATTTTTTGTTTTTTTGCTTTTGTGATGAAGTTGAATCTTGGGGTTAAATTCTCTATATTTTGGTAATGAGATTAAATGTTTGGAATGTCTTACTTTTTTTGGTAATGAGATCAAATGTTGGGATTAAATTCCTTATATGTTGGTTTTTCATAGCCAACCCCAAATAATTGGGATAAGGCTTGGATGATGATGATATTTGTCTTAAACTTAGAAAAGAGTTATACTGTTTCATCACGCTTGACTGATTTGAAAAAACATATGTTATGCTACTATCATTGGGCTTCTAATAGTCGTTTATTTTTCAATAACAAATTTCTTTGACTTCGCTGATACAGTTTCATCACGGTTGTACTCTAGCATGGGCAGAGCTATGCAAGGAGATAGTAGTGGTCATTTGAGAATGGTCAATCAAGCCTTGGAGAAGGACTCCTTTCTTAGTTCAGTTAAGAGCTTTCCGAATAATATCACAATGGGTCCATTGGAAGAAGAGCAGAAGGAACAGGTTGCAGAGGGCCCTAATTGCACATCTCGAAATCCTGTTGCTGAATTACTTGAGAACCCTGATGATGTTAGAAGATTGATGAAGATGGAGAGAAGATCTGAAACAGATTGGGAAGTCACCCAATTTGGACACAGTTTATCTCAAAGCCAATCTATGGATGGTGGTGTTATGAGGGGGCACTGGTTTCCATACCTTAACCAATTTAAGACGAGAGATATCAATCTGTCGAGTTGCGAAGTTCTTGAAGCACTCGCTCCTCATATATTGGACACCCGAAAGGAAAGGATGAGACAAGCTGTGAAGAATAGAAGCTATTCGGTTTGTTTGGTTGTCGAGGGATTGACTGACTATGGAAACGTGTCTGCTGCATTTCGCTCAGCAGATGCACTTGGTATTCAGTCAGTTCATGTGGTCTCCAATGACAGCACGAAAAGGTGCAACGTTATTTGAGGTGAAAGCTATATTTTACTGTTTTATTTTGTTGAATGAATCTTTGACATAGACATTCATTGTAAATGATCCTGGGATGTATGTTGTAATCAAATGGATTATGGAAAAGCCATAGTCAAGTCATGACTGTCCATTGAAATGGGGGCGTAGACCTAGAGAGTGGGAACACTGATGCATGACCTATCCTTATGGTGGGTTCCTTTCTCACTTCATCAACATTGGTTATTTTAATGGACAGAGGTGACCTTATTGGCTATGGTTCTGTCATGTGGTCTGTTGGACTTGGTATACTTTCCTAATAATCATAACTTTAAGTTGTTTTGATGTGATTATCTCTTAGATTGGGCAGAAAGAAAGGTGATTTATCTCTTATGTGTGTGTGTGTGTGTGTGTATATATATA